TATGTGTGTTGTCATATCAACTGTTTTTACATGCTTGAAAGAATAAATCAAATCAAAATCTAATCAAATGTCACACCTCTGGTACAGAGATGCTGGTATCTGTGTAAAAAGAACATTGGGACTTTTTTATGTTACTGTAAATAGTCAAAGCTGCAATAAAGAATGGCCACCATAAAGGCAATATAGTGGAATTTCTATGTACAAAAGGCTGTGGTTAGATAAAAAAACAGTAGTGTGGTGATTATATTCAGCTAGTCGCTTCTGGGGCAATACATGTATGTATTTTTCAGGGTTGATTATTTTGATATTAAAATTTTGATTTACATTGTTTAGGTGATGGGCGCTACTCTCTGTTGGGCCAGCCTCTCCAGTACAGCCTGTGTCCACCTCCCCTCATGCATGGCCAGTCCTCCTACAGCTCCCATCAGGTGAATCCTAATGCACCCTAACTTAAATCTTTACTGCCCTTCCTGTTCTTGTGCACTTAAAACTAGTGGCCATTCATAATTAAGCTGCTCCAAATTGACGGGGCATTTTAAGGATGTTTTGCTTCTGTAATTCAGTTATTCTGGCTTAAATAGAGCCATCATGAATTCTACACTCTAAAAACTGAATAAGGCAAAGAGGAGCAAGGTTTTGCAGAAGTAGAGACTCCAAATGACCTTTTACATTGCAGTGAGGCATGATTAAATAGTTCTTTGCAGCATTTTGTGTTATAAAGAGGTAATGAAGTTGAAGACCAATGGAAGCCATATTCACTGTCCATCATCTCCTGCAGGCCTCATCCCCTCTCCTGTGCCCAGTGTGTTGTTTCTGCTGGCAGTCTCTATGTACTAAAGACTCGTGTTTAAGGCTTTCACTGATTGCTTATACCCTCACCTAGTGTCTTGCCATGTTACTGCAGTATAAAAATAAACTTGTTGTTGTGTTCAGGGCCAAGGAGTAATGAAACACGGGGCACGGGGGAAAAAACAAACACTCAAATCTGCATCAACGGATCTCGGCACCACTGATGTAGGTAAGTTAGAGATGCATCATCACAAACCAGCTTTACATCTTCAAGTGTCACTATATTTTTTTTCTACAGGTGGTCTTGTATTTTCAAATAAGTGCCTAAGAATATCTGGTGGTGATTGTCTGAAAACTCCACTAATTGTAGTTGTGATACTCTATGTTCTCATCTGAGGCGCTTAGCGTTGCAAGGCCAGTAGTCTTCAAGTAAGCCCAATTGTATTTCTTCTTGAGTGTCCTACTGGCCTCAGCACCAGGTACACTATTATTCCCCTGAAAACTGCTTGTACTAAAAAGTCCTTAGCTGAAACAGACCAGCAAACACTGAGCATGTTTCTGAAACAGGTGATTTAACTCACTAAAAATGCAGCTTGAACAACCAGGCCTGATGACTTATCTCTCTCTCTTACACTCTGCTTCTTCTTTGTCCAGTGGTGAGTCGAGTACTTGAGGTAACAGACCTGCCAGAGGGGATTTCACGTCCCGAGGCTGAAAAGCTCTTCAACCAGCTGTCGCTATGTGGTGCCAAGATCCAGTGGCTGAAGGAGCCCCAGGGAGGCCGAGGAGGAGCAGGAGGCTGTGGCCCCTGTCCTGGTGCAGGGCCTTCTGGGCCAGGAGCCAGCATAGTACCTGTTGGAGTGAAGGGCGACAGCCATGACCCAGCTCACCTCTACACAGTAGTGGCAGTGTTCCCCAGCACCATGGCTGCCCAGAGTGCTTCCTTCAAACTCAACAACAGCGGGGCAAGCCTCTTCAAACTGAGGGCCGCCAAAAAGAACTATGACCTGCGTGTGCTGGAGAAAGCTAGTTCTCAGTGAAAGGAAAAGAGGGGCAGGAAAGAAAGAAGGTGAAAGAGACAAAGAGAGACTCATGGTGGAGTGGTGGAAAAGGAAGGAGGATTGGGGGAGGGGGGGGACTGCTCTTAGTGTACAATTTAAAAACAAAACAAACTTGAGTTAAATGATGTGTCAAATGTATAAAAGGGACGAAGGTATGAATCATGAGGTGGCTGGAGTTTGGTTGCAAATATGATTTTGTTGTTTGTTTTTAATTCATTGTTTTTGTTTTGTATTTATATAGCAGAAGAGCACACAAGACACGCGAGCATGTGTTTCACTGTTGCCGTGGAATGTGTGCTGCCATTATACAAAAACACACGCCATGCCACACATGTGTATACACACACACACACACACACACACATACCAGTAGAGACAGACACATAAACACAGGCAACAGGGTCACGTAGCACATAACAAAGACACACTGGACAGTCAACCTCAGTCAGACCTTTTCCTCCTCCCTCCGTTTTCCAACCTCTCCTCCTTTTCCGGCCAGTGCTTTCTCTTCTTCCTCAGTGCTCTGTCACCAAATCGTCTCTTAATTCACATATTTATACATTTTCATACGCACAGTTGCGTGCACTCTGCTCTTCCCCACCGCTCCGCCCTCTATTCTTGCCATGTCTCATACTACCTTTCTCTGCTCTTCTGTTCCATGTACTCTCACTGCTTTCTCCTCCCTTGCTTTCTGTTTGCCTTACTGCTGTTGTGGGTTTCTGTGTTGCGCTGGGGTTTTTTTCTGATTTATTTTTATTTTTTGTTTGTTTTTGGGGTTCAATATATTTATATAAGTGATGTAAGGAATAAAAGAAATCTATATATTCAGTGATTTTCTTTATTTCCCAAGTGACAAAGTTTAGGCCTTCCTTTATCCTTTACTCCTTCCTTGTTCATCCCCTTCTCCTCTTCCTCACATTTGTTTCCTCCTTACTTCCCTCTACCTCACATCTTCTGTCCTCTCCTCTCCTACAACTGCCCCACATCCCCCCTGCTCTACCCCGACACCCAATTGTGTTCGCGTTTTTCGTTGACAGCTGTGCAGAACGTATCAGAAGAAGTAGTTTAAGTGCACAATGATTGCATATGTCTACTGTAAAGTTTATTTAATCTGTTATTTTTGTTTGTTTTTAAAAATATAAAACTCAAGAAAAAATCTATCAAAACATCTTCTGTGTTATGTGGTTCATTGTTAGATTTTTCTAAAACTGAGCACTGAGCTTCAGAGTCGTAATGACTTCAGTTTTCCTATGGTTGTGTGTATATTTGCTTATATAAAGTCGTATTCTGTATATGAATATACAGTATAATGGAAAAAACATCAGTCTTTTAGTATGAACCTGGGCAACCAAAACAGCTTCAGTGCTCCTTAGCATACATCCTACAAGTTTCCATCTTTACACTGCTCTTCCAACAATATTCCCTTATGTCAGTGCAGAATCACCCCTCTGTATCCTGTGACTGGGTGATTGTGAAGCCCAGAACATGTGATGCTCATTATTTTCATACTTATCAAACCATTTGGCTTCTTGTTTCTTGTATAGAGGTGCTCATATCTTTGTAAACCCCCTCCTTTATGTCTTTGAGTTCATCCCCTCTGTACATACTGAACACATTCATGCTCCCAAGAGGAAGAAGATGACTAATGTGGTGGCTGACTGGTTATGATTCGTAGGACACACGCTTCCTTTGAGCGCCCCCTGGTGGCTGTTTTCGTCCTCCCCAACCTCAAGGGGATCTGCTGCCATTTTATATTTGCAGTTTGTTTTTTGAGAAGGTGTCGGCTTATGTTTCCATCTTTTTAGACCATTTCTCCAAGTAATTTCTGTTTATCCTCAAAATCAACTTCCAAAGTCGGTAACATTTTAAGTGAACTTAAAATCTTGGTGGTGTGGGAAAAAAAAGCAGCAGCTTTCTTATTTTGTTTTTCAGTTGGTTTTTGCTGCTTTGTGTAGTTTCACATAATATAATCTTGTGATTTTTAAAAATTTTTTTTTTTTTTTACATTTTAAGCAAAAGCAACAGGTAATTTCATTCAAGTTTTGGGTTTTCAGTCCTCCATCTGTGTCTGACATTCCACATATGCTTTGGCTTTAGTCAGTAGAGCTGTCAGCACCAGCTGTTTTGCACTTCACTGACAATTTAGGTGACTAAAGGAAACCAGAAGATCTTGTCACTTACTTATATTTCCCATTGCCTCCGACCAGCTGATTTTCCTGTACATGCCCTTGTGTGTTTTTAACTAGTGCAAAAGTGTCTGCATTCTGTGAAGTACATTTATTTGCACTATTTTTACTATTTGTCCCACATTCAGTCAGTTCCATTCACTGATGGTGAATGTGAATTAAAGTTTTGAAAGAGTTAATCAAAATTAATCAAAAGTAACATCAGAAGTAACACAGAATGGTCTATGTCATATTAATGGATCATTATTAATATTATTGATGCATTGAGAGCTGTAGTAAAATGTAGCAGCTACTGTTGGGTAGTTTGCTTCATAACAGTACATCATATCAAACTGATCACATTTTGTATGCAGCTGTAAAATACACGTATAAGAGTAAAATGTAAAATATAATCAGAAATGTAGTGGAGTTAAAGTACAGTACAAAGTAGCCTAAAATGGAAATGCGTACCTACTTAGCACTCATGTTCTGTGATTTGAAGGAAATCCATTTTTATTACAATTGTTTTGTCACCTCGCCTTTATATTAAAGTTGACAGTACAGATAGAAAACATGAAGACAGAGCAAGTGGAATAACATGCACCAAAGTTCCCCAGTTGGAATCACTTGTGTAAATATGTGATACACATGGAGGTCATGGGAATATACTTTTCTCCTAAGAATATTTATTGAAAGAACCGATTTTTGACTTGTACATACAAATATGAATGCTGTATGTGCATATGTAAAAACACAGCTACGTCAGCTCATATTCACAATCTCAGTGGTTCTGTTTCCTCATAAGAATCAAGGCATTCTGACACAAGTGGTGCTCATTTACTGTATGTTTTACTTCAACATTGTGAAAACATAAATACAGAAATCTGCACTTAAATGTATGTACTTTACATTACAAGGGCCTTCTGTAGTATTCTAAATGATTATCCATCCTATTTGTAAGTTTGCTACAGTATACTATTCTCCTATACTCCACTTTCAACCTTTGTTTTTCTTGCTCCAGAGTTGCCATTCACACTGTGTGAAATCAGTGTTATCTTCTTGTGACCAGAGAGATTAGAGTTCCTCCGCCAAATCCAGATAAACCTTTATTTTGTCTTATGCATTCAGATAGATTGTGTGTGTGTGTGATAATATACCAACAGAAGCAGGGCACTCGGTTTTTTTTACCACTCAGCTGGGAGAGCGTCTCAACTTTTAAATTGCTCAGCTGTCACAGATAGTCACATGGACACGCGCACACACACATACACTTATATGCAGGGTCAGGGATGGGCTGGGTTGGCTCGCTGGCATTACTCACCCCTGTCTCCCACCTGTTGGATCCTCATTTGGAAAGTTGAACATGTAAAGCACCCAAGATCAAAACTGCTAGAAGAAGCTAGAAAGAGTCCCAAGAAGTTCTGTGCTGCAGGGACCCCTCCTGACTGAGTGTGTAGGAAGACGTGGAAGCCAAGTCTCACGGTCAGTTGATATCTATGCATGTGTGTGCATCCAGAAAAACGATCTACCCATCCCTTGGTCGGACTGAACCCCTTACTAACTATACCCTCAAAACCCTCTGTGGGTGTGTTGGACATACTATGTATCTTGTTCCGGTTTAAAAGTGATGTCTGTATTAACCTTTAGAAGATAAAGTTGCTTCCCCAGAAACATTTAGTGTGCACTGCATGTTGGAAATCAATGCAATTTGTTCACTGATGTTAAATGTAAGGTAAAACATGAATGATCCCTTTGTGGAGAGTTCTGACAGATGTGAAGTTACTGGCTGTTTATTAATCATGACTGGAAGCCAAACAGAAGAGTTACTCTTCATAAAAAACAACAACAACAACAACAAAAGTATTTCAGGAGACACTTTCACAAAAGTGATGCTGGTGTGTTTTCTGTCTGCAGTGACATCTGCTGGTCCGGTCTCTCCATATCTGGGGAACTAAACCTCGACTGGCCAAACACAATGGCTGATTCTGACTCGTGAGTTCAGCCTGCACATGGAATAACCCCTCACCATTTTTGTATAGAAACCTGAAAATAATGTACCTAGAATTTTTTTTTTTTAATCTCTTATTTATCCCTTTTGATTACAGTCATAACCTCCTTTGAAAGGCAACTCATTAAATTCTACAGTCAAAATAATGATTATAAGAGATACAGAACCAAAGTCCCAGAGGCACAAACATGATGGAAATGAACGCCTTTCTTGCTTCACCTATATTTATTTATTTATTTGTTTGGGAAAGTCCTGCAGTAGTACCTCTTATGTGGTAAACATTTTGGAAGACATAGCCAGAAGTCTGAAGCAGTTCTGTGTCAAGTTGTTGATGATGGCACTAAATATTAATAACTTGCCAAGTTGCTTCACAGTGTGTATCTCTGTAACACTAGGCCCACCGTGAGCATGAGAAATCTCAGTCACTATTTATTTTTTGCATTCAAACATTTGCTTCCTGATGATGACAGGCTGGATGAAAAGGACTCTGTGGATATTCATGACAACCCACCTGTCCCTGATAATGTGGTGAAAGAGGAGGACAACACGGTGAGACATCTTATGTGACATGCACATCAAAAGGCTGTTTATAAGTCAAATAACCAGAATGGATTTTATTGAGATTATCTTTGTGGTATTAAGTAAAATTGATTATCCAAAATATGTCTATCAGAGGAAAGAGAGATCGCTATTGAATTATTCACATGTAGTGTTTCTATATTGTGGGCACCACAAATGAGATGCCTTTCTCCCTCATTGTGAGGTTGGAGGCAGGATGTTAGAGGACAGCACCTGCCTCATTCAACCTTTTAATACATATTGATTGATTTGAAACTAACTGTACTAGTTGAATAAGTCACATATAAGCTGACAAATGCATTGAGGCATTGTGGCAGGTTTGTTTAGCAATCCTGACAGCTGAATAGAGTTACAGAGTGATGGTGCTGTAATGTGTGAACTGTCCCTGGTATTATCAGTTATTGTAGTTTAAATCCTCAGAGTCAGGACGCCTCTAATCCTGCCTGTTATGTTGAGACAGAACCTGTTAACTCTGTCTGGATGTGTGTGGCTTTGTAGTTGGGAAAAACCCTCTCTGACTGACATGGAACACTCTGTGTGAACATAAGATAGAGTCCGTATGACTCAGCACACTGCGTGGTTCAGTATTAATAGAATCACTGTCATATTAATCTGTCAGGCAGTGGGCGTTGCAGGATACTGGATCTAACTGGGTTTATTAATAAAGAGACAACCAGGACATAACAGTTCAGTGGAATCCCAAAACTGAATCACGGAGGAGGATTTTTGTTTGTTTAGAGTTTACTTGACTGAAAATAAACAGTGTCAAATGGCTTCATGAGATGTTAACCACTGCACATGTGCTGTACGACCTGTTTTTGTTCTGCTTCCACCTCATCCATCTTCAGGTATATTTCATCTATGATGAGGAGGTAGAAGAGGAAGAGAAAGAGGAGCCTCCTCCTCCAGAGCCAATCAAACCGGTCAATGACAGACCTCACAAGTTCAGGGACCACTACTGCAAGAAACCAAAGTTTTGCGATGTCTGTGCACGCATGATTGTTTGTATGTTCCTCTTATCTTTTTTGGTGTCCTGCATGACAAAACAAATATACTTCAGTGGTCTTTAAATGTGTGTTTCCTGATCGAATTTTGTTTTTTTTTTTGGTGTCCTTTCAGTAAACAATAAGTTTGCATTGCGATGTAAGAACTGCAAAACCAGCATCCACCACCAGTGTCAGCCCTATGTGGAGTTCCAGAGGTGTTTTGGCAAAATTGTGAGATTCATGTTCCACAGTAGTTTGGTGTTAAATCAAAACTAAACTGCTTAACATGTTTTTTTTTTCTGATACCATCTCTCTCCTCTTTCAGCCTCCAGGATTCAGAAGAGCCTACAGTTCTCCTCTGTACAGCAGTCAGCAGAACGCCACAATCTCAGAGCTGCTGCCTTTTTGTAAGTCTCACATACTGTACTGTATGTGCAGCACTGTACAGTGGAAAAACCAAGGGCACAGTTCTGCAGATTGAGAGTAGGGACATGTCCCTACCAATATCTGAGCAAATGCTAGAAATGCTGAGATCCAAAGGGTTCACATACTTTTTCATCCAACTGTACATTGTTACATAAAGATGATTTCCACCTTAAACCCAAGTAAATTAAATATTCTTATATCAGACATTTCAGTTTTACGTCGGAAGATTTTTTTTTTTCCCGTTTTTCACTTTCTCAAATACATTTTTATTTCGTCGTTTAAATATTTCACTGCAAACGTTCACCATGTCCTTTTCACTGGTGGTTGAGCAGACATTGAAATTATCAGTAGACAGTTACAGATGAAAATTCAAAGGGCTTAAAATGTAAATACCTCTTGTTAACCTGTGAGTTGCATGTAAGCCTTCGTACCTGTATTCACTTTTTCTCTATGCATTGATTGATGATGTTTGATTGGCAGCACAGTCAAACCGCACTGACCCTGTGTTTGAAACATTGCGGATTGGAGTGATCATGGCCAACAAGGAGCGTAAAAAGGACTCAGAGGACAAGAAGAACGTGAGTGCACAAAGTCACTTGTGTACATGGTGAAATCATTTAATGTTATAAAGCACTGCCAGTCTCTACAATGGCCTTATTTCAATTATTTTTACTTGTGTTAATACTACTGTGACTCCTTAAATTGCCCAGATGATGATGATGATGGAGGACGATGAGTCCCAGCCAAAAGAGGAGGAGGAAGGTGGTGAAGGAGGTGAGTGCATGCTGAGAATGGTGGGTATCTCACTCTCTGTCTCCGTGCTTTCTCTCTTTAATGTTCCTGCCAGAGGTCCCTGTTAGATCAGAGTTGCTTCACATGGTTCAACAACAGCAGAAATACCACTGAAATATTCTTTACAAAAACAAAAGGTGCAGTTTATAAAGGTGAATCCTTTTCTTTTTGTTTGTCTCATTTTTGTACCAGCAAACACAGAAGGTGATAAAAAGGGAGACAAAGCGCCTGCTGATGACAAGGTCAGATAATGTAAAGATCAATATGACACGAGTATGATGATGATAATGATGATGATGTCAATAAAAAAAATACAATAGCAACAAAATCAGTGACAGTAGTGGTGACAATGCTGATGACACAAAATGCTAACAACCCAACGCTGACAGATCTGAAACTATGATGAAAATATTTTCTTAACAAATGATAATGTAAACTCAGTACTGTGCTTTATATGTCTGTGTTTTCCAGAGTAAGAAGCTTCAGCCAGGGAAGATCGGTGTGTTCAGTCAGTCTCACTACTATCTGGCTCTCTACAGATTCAAGGCCATAGAGAAAGATGACCTAGACGTGCAGTAAGTACCTCTCCTCAGCTTGCCTGATCTTTTTCAGTGCCTCGATAAATCACTCTCAGTCTTCCTTTTCAACAGTCCAAGTTCTACCAAACTTTCTCCCTTGTGTCATTATGTAGCTAATGTTGAACTCTCTCCATAAATTATTCATATCCTGTTTATTCCAAAGTGCTGGTGACCGCATAACAGTGATAGATGACTCCAATGAGGAATGGTGGAGGGTGAGTCCTAGAGCTGATTTCTTAAATCACGCAATATTTGTCAAATGGTTTGGGGATTGATTAATTATTTTGGTGATTATCTGGATCTGGGACTTGTGCCAGTACTGTAGATGTTTGGTTTTTTTGAGTCAGGACAGTTACACTGAACTTTGAGCTCACAATGGATGCCATTGCATTTCCCTCACTGTGCTCTAGTAGACTACATACTGTAGGTACTGACTTCACAGGAATGTAATTAAAAGTAGGTTGTAAAATAATTGACAAACACTTCTCAAATGACACAAACCTTTCCTCGCACCAGGCTGAATTAATGTAGCACTTGCTAGTTACAGTATCGGTCTGTGTGGCTCTGGCAATGTTATCAGGATTTTGCCAAACAATCCATCAAAAGACCATGTAGGTGCTGAATGTTTCCTTTTATTTGTATAATCCAGCAGTTGCCCAACAAGATGTATGTTTTAGGAAACAGTTATATTGTCATCTAAACACTCCCCATTGTTGTTTGGTCCAGTTTTTATCTGGCTGGGTGTAATTGATTCATGCTAAATGTTTTGTCAAATCTTGTGAAAATGTAGCTGATGAGACACAGTTTGACTTTGCAAAGTTATATTGATTGATCCAGAGCTGGAAATGTTTCAGAAGCCCTGTTTTCCAGAGTGGATGGAATCTGTAATGCATCATCCACCCAGCTATTTTTGTCAGTCACTCAGGTTTCAAAGCCACACTGAACAAATTTTTTTAATGTAGTCCATCTAAGTACAGTACGCTACATGAAACTGGAGCTGCAGCTGCTCACCGTTTAAACTTTTGTTCCAACAGGGGAAGATCGGAGACAAAACAGGGTTCATACCTGTCAGCTACATCATCCGAGTGCGAGCAGGAGAGAGGGTCTACAAGGTGACACGCTCCTTTGTCGGCAACAGAGAGATGGGCCAAATCACTTTGAAGAAAGACCAGGTTAACACAAAAACTCCAATGAAGACACAATCATATAGCCAAACAAGAATTTTAGCTGGAAAAAACTTAGAAAAATCAAGTGGACTAGGTTTTTAGGTCGAAGATGTTTCACCTCTCATCCAAGAGGCTTCATCAGTTCTGCCTCTGTGAGAGGTGAAACGTCTTCGACCTAAAAACCTAGTCCACTTGATTTTTCTAAGTTTTTTCAGCTTACAATGAACCTGGATGACGAAGAAGCTGCACGGACATGTTCACTATTCATATAAATATATGGCATAATATGGTAATATATTTCCCAATCCAGTCAGTGTTTTTCCATGTGTTTTTCCCCAGATTGTGGTGAAGAAGGGCGAGGAGGTGAACGGTTACCTGAAGGTCAGTACAGGACGTAAGCTCGGCTTCTTCCCCGCCAACCTGCTGCAGGAGATCTGAGGAGGATCGCCAGGCGACTGGTCAAACCTCCGTCCGCTTCCCTTCTCTGTTTCATCGTCTGCTGGAGCTAACATGTTTGTAATTTATAGCTACATTTTTATTTCAACACATGTGGTGGTGAAAGTAACTAAGTACATTTACTCAAGTATAATTTTAAGGTATCTGTACTTTACTTGAATGTTGTAATTTTCTGCTACTTCATACTTTGACTTCACTACCTTTTAGAGGCAAATATTGTACTTTTTACTTCACTGCATTTATTTTATAACTAATTTTATAATTTTATTTTGTAACTTTAGTTGCTTTTCAGAATCAGATTAATAAAACACAATAATGTAGTATAATTATAAGACTCTGTTGATCCCCAATGGAAATTTTAAATGGTACCCAGCAGCATGTAAAGTCCTTCAAATTATAAGCATATGGGTAATTAGCTCTACCTTTACCAGCTCCAACATTAATTATAATCCAATAATATAATATACATTAATGTGAATTGTGCCATTTTTCACAATGAATACTTGTACTTTTGGTGTATTTTGATGCTAATGCACGTGTGCTTTAATTCAGTAACATTTTGAATGCAGGACTTTCACTTGTAGCAGAGAATCTGACTTCCACTCTTCTTCCACCACTGTACACATGCTGTCATTTTCCTTTGCTCCTTATCAACCTTACTTACATCCCCATACAACGCCTGTGTGCAGAATATATAATATGCAAGTGTGTATTTGGTATGCATAGCCAGAAAAATAACTGAATAAATGAGTTGAACAGGTGCAGATTTTTTGTGAACAAGACTGTGAACAGGCAACCTTCACTGACTTTATTATTTAACACATTTTGCACCAGAAATATTGCCCTTTAATACTGCATGTTTATTTTACTTTGTTAATAGTTTAAGGCACGATATACGTAGTGGCTCTGGTTTGTACATTTCCCTTTGCCTGTTTCTTAATGACTGTGTTGAGCTACAATATTAATTGCGTACTGAGCATGTAGTTGTAATTAGAATTTAAGGGCGAATTTAGATAAATAATGTTGCCTCTTTCTAAAATCCTGTCCTGATTTGACAGAAACATACATGTTGTGTATTTTCTTTATTTTATTTGTGATGGAGTGTCATGAGAAATATGTGAACATTGTTTGGCACCATGTTTGGTAAGATGTAATATTAATGTTGTTGTCTACAGCAACATTAATATTACAACAATATTTGGCATTCTACTGTAAAATGAGAATTGAAGTTGTATCATTCATCTGAAGTGCCCTTTTTCCTAATTGCTTTCTCTCATAATCTATCTTAGATGAATGCTATTTGAGTGCGTTTCATTATACAGACAGTGTGTGTGTGTGAAAAGAAACAAAAAAGTGCAGAATTTATTGTATCACCTGGTTATTGGTGTCATTCATAGCAATGGTAATGACATGTTGGGGAACAAGTGAGAGAATCAGATGAGATGGAGGCATTGCCACCCTGAGTGCAGTGTACTTATCCAGAGGAAACCCTGTGTAGATGCTTTACTATGTACACATGGCATGTGTAGGTCCACAGAGACATTCCAGTGGTGAGGACAGGCCTGAAAAACACAGCACCTAGACAGGCAGACAAAGGCTCACATTGTCTTCTTTCTCCATATTTCTTTTTACCTTCCATCTTGTCTTGTGATTGTTAATAAAGAATATTTGCTTTAAATCTTGTGTGTTGATGAAGATTAGATTGAGTTTCTCATTCATTACTTCTCTGCCTCTGTTTATCTCTTTCTCGTTTCCTCTCCCTCACCACAGCCAAAGGCCACTTTCAGATGGAGATAATGAGTTGCGTGGTCACACCTCCTTCCTCTGTTGTCTGTCAGAGAAAAGGAGCAATGTGGCCCAAGCAGGTTGCGTTGCCAGGCTTCAGCAGTCCTCCAATTGGACAACAGAGCACCCCTTCAGACACGGGTCACTTCCTCCTGGGAAACAACCTCTGCTTTATGCTGCTCTGGACCGAGGGACGGCATGCAAGATATCACAGCTGCCATGTTGTCATCCCTGACTCCCTGACCCGCTCACCCTGTCACTCTAAGAGGCAGGACAGCGGAGGGCTGCCAAAATGTTTGTGGATTTGTGTGGGTGGATGATTCTGTATGTGGGTGCATCTATAAATACTGTATTATATACACACACAGTATACGTGAGTGTGCACTGGTGAGAGGGCAAGGACACTGAGGGGGTGACAGCATGATACTTGGCAATAAATTGGTTCAGGAGAATTTCATTTTTATGTGTGTGTGTGTGTGTGTGTGTGCGCGTAGGTGAGGAGTTGCAGAGTTAAGACGAGCTGGATAAGGAGCTGCTGTGGAATCTCCAGGTAGTCCAACTGCAGGTTTAAGTGGGAGCTGTGGATTTTATTGTTTGATTTAACTCAGGGTCCATTTACTGTATTTGTTCTGTTTGTTCACTTTTGACTGTATCATCAATAAATAGTGTTTGTTCCATGGAAACATACTGCAGATGTTCAGACTTTCCATGATCCCTGAGCACCTCTGCAACTTATTATTGATGCTAACTTAAAAGCTGAGCATGACTGTTCACTCTTAACATCAGAAACATTTCAAAAGTATGGAAATGCAAGGTTCCAGTGCAGCTTAACTAACAGCTGACAAAACTGTGATACGGTCGAAAGCTCCAGAACAAACGTGCAACAGGAGCATGAATAGTCTTGCCAGTTGCTTTTACCTGGGCCGTGAATAAACCAATTTGCTCAGTTTATACAGCATCTAAGGTACAGTACATGTGTAGATTATGTTAGAAAGAAAAGCATTAAATATATGTTGCGTAGCATTGCATTGAAATTGACCTCAGATTTAAGAATATAGCTCAATATAAAGAGTTTTAAAACTAAAAATATTTTCAGCAACAGATTTCTAAAACAATCAATACAGTTTTACGACATCTATTGTAGGGCACGATAATGTAATAATGTATTCAACAATATTTACCTAGGTTCATTTCCAAATGCAACAAGGGTACACATTATGTATTTCTTGTGTTTCTAAACCACCAGGGTACAAATATTACATCAAAAGAGAGGTTGTGAAAAATAAGAAGCACAATTTTCATACAGTATGTTAAACCGACAAAGTCCTGTATTATATTAAATTACAACATGTACTGACACAGTCAACATGTAATTGTGATTTCAGCCAACAGATGTCGCTGTTGCACAGAGCAAAGCATCTGGTCACCAACTTCGCAATGGGACCTTCTGTTTGTTTATGGTAACTAACAGCTGTGATGCTGAGGTGCACTCTGCCCTGGCCAAAGGATACCAGGTTTGTAAGAGGGAAGAAAGTGTTACTTTTCATTTTAACAATCGTGGTTTAAAATAACTGTGCAGAGCTGATGGACCGATTCATCTGCAATCATAACAAATCTCACATCTCTGTAGTATTCAAGTGGTTTTCTGTCCATACAATCAAACACAGCCATTTAAAACACTTCAGTTTCAATACTCTATTAAATGCAATGATCAAATTAGAGTTTAAATTTCCATAATCCTATGTGATTTTAAGGTGTTAAGTATCACACCCATGGATGCAGTCTGAGGCCTCAAACAGCTTGGTGTTTTCCATGCATAACAGAAGCCATCCTGGATGTGTAATATGTCATTTACAACATGTTGCCACATCATTATACAGCGATGAAACGTAATACAACTTTGCGAGGTGTCAAACTGCACTTATGGGTGTGCAGAAAGTGACGTATCCCTTATTAAGAGTGCAGGCTCTGCATCATCTCATTGACCAACCACATTCAGAATCACATTTAGCATCCAGTCGAAGAGAAAATCCATCATCCCTCCACCAGCCGCTGAGAAATGTAGCAGCGTGTGAGGAAAAATAATAACATAATACTGTATCAGAGATCCTCTTTGCCTAGCAGAGAACGTATTGATTTTTAGAGAAATGTTTCAGAAACTCTCTTCCATGGGCCTTTGCTAAAGCTAGTTCTTCTCCCAGACCTCAAAGCTATGAACATTTTAAGCTTTTCTCAAAGCTCCATGACTGGATTTATTTTTGGAAAGTTTTTTTTTTCTCATTTTCTGTCAGTCTCTGTTTTTGTGACATACAGATGTGTGAGGGTGTGTGTAATAACGTGAATGTGCATCAAATCTTCTGTTTTCTGACACAACATCTGAAGCGTTACATGAAGCCCTGGCATGATCCTTTTAATAAGTGTTGCAGAAATGTGCTTTTTGTTTCTTTCCATTATTCACTGAGGAGCTAAAATTCAATGATCTAATCCAGTTTCTATGATTATGAATCTCCATTACTGATACATTCAAAACTTCCTTGGTTTAAACTGTTCAGAATGTTAAAATGCCAAAAGGACACTGTGGGAGAAGGCAGTAACAAGATACTGGCAGCTTGTTACCACAGTGCAGTACATAGATCTCTATGTTTGTGTGTTTTCACTTCTGTGCATCCATCTGCGTCTGAATAGAAAGCAAAGGACAGAGAGTGATGGCATATATGTGTGATTTCATGCTTGTTCAAGAATAAATTAAAGACGTAATGACATGCACACATAAAGAGAAAGTTTACTGAGTGAGTATATGGGCCCACAGACAGAGTGAGAGCCTGCATGGGAGAGGGAGGGAGGGAGGGAGACATGGCTGGAGAGAAGACTGCAGGGTTGGAACCAATTAGGCCAGGAGAGGCTCCCTCCACCTGCACTACGAGGCCCCTGGGGGAGAGCCCCTGTGACAAGATGAGGGATCATCATCATTACCATTATTTATTTGCTAAGCAGAGGCCGACTCTGGGGCCAATCCTAATAGGATTCACGAATTACAATGAGCGTCTCGCTTTTGGGGCAGGAAGGATGCTTGAGGAGGAGGGGAGGGTTAATGCATGGATAAAAGTGAGCATATATATGGAAACATCAGATGCAAATACAACTGGCTTATGCTAAAAAAAGACATTTTAAACAATTCTACAGACCAATTGTAGGCTTCCAAATTATGTGGCATCCCTGTACAGTAGTTTGGTAGTTTTTGTGAAGAAGTCAGGTGAATCTGACCCCAAAATCAGTTCTGCTAATTCAGATGCATGTTACTGAATTCCTAGCAAGACCAGGCAGATGCTCCTGTTAACATGCACAGCATTTTAGTCACATTCCTTCAGTGTGTTGTAATGAAAATTAACAACACACATCGACTCTGTGCAACCTGAATTGTTCAAATAACTGACTGTTCCTTGCAAGTACTTCAGTTAGTGTAAGTGGCACATTTTATTTCTTTTTTTAAAGTTTAGTTAGTACAGATATATTTGGTAAAATGAATACTGCTACTAAAGTAGAGTATGCGCACATAAACTGAGCAAAACAGACTGCGCGCGCTCCCGCGAACCGCAATCCGTTTCTGGCAGACTGTCCCTTTTTGGCACAACAGCGGAGCATGCGTTTTCCTCTCCAGGCGGGTGTTAACAGAGGTTAACAGGAAGAGGAGCTATCACAGACATTTGTCTCCTACATTAAGCAGACAGACTAAATTGACCCTAACTTTACATCAGCGGGTATTTGTGAAGCCGCGGGGCGTGAGGATGCAGTTTGAGCGCAATCAAGGTAAATCAAACAAGTTCAGATGGGTTATATCAGTCACTGGTCAGCCAGCGGCCTGGAAAACTCGTTGATCATTTATTAACTTTTCTGTCCTCCTTCCTCCATCCAGCGAGATGTTAGGACCGACACACCAAACCAAGACCCGGTCCGTCTGTGGCCTACAAGGTAAACTTCTGACTCCACGTAGACTGTTGGAACCAGGCGCACAAGGCGCACTACGATGCTGAAATCGGTAGTAAATGGGGAGATTAAAGGACGCGTAGCCAAATATCGAGCAACTATTTCACAGTTTTTTTTTTAAATGATCCACTTCTTGTGTTACAGTAGGTCCTACCGCGGTGTAAAACCCACTTCCAAATATGTAAAGCTTTAATTTATGAAAAGAAAAAAAAAACTGGTCAGCTTCTACTTTTTCATCCATGCAGGCAACACCAGACCAGGCCATATTTATGAAACAAATCACATGCTTGTCAAACCAAGATATGATTAATAAGCAGACTCCACTAACTGCTGAAAAACAAATTTGTAAAATCTTTATTTTGTTTCTGAAAACACAAAAACTGCCATTTCATTTCCCCCCCTATCTAGGCTATTTGACCTCAGATTAGGTCTAGATCAAAAATAACTTTACTCTGACTTGTCATACATGAGTTAAATAACTATTTGTTTATTAAAACAACTGTTGATTAATTTGCTGTCAGTCAGTTAAGTATCAAAACAGAAGTCAGTGTTACTGTTTCTGGCAGATTAGTGTGCAGTGTTCTAATCTCTTTTTATAATGCTGGGAAAGTACAACTGTATTTTAGCAAAGTTCATTGGAAGTAAGTTAATGCCTTTCAGATCATTTTCCCTGAACATGGATGAGCCAGTGCCTCACGCAGGAAAGGCACGGATGCTGCTGGGCTGCGAGACAGACCTGCGCACCAGTCAGATGATTCACCAGGGACACTTGCTTATCTACCGTTTGAATGGTGACTGAATCTTAATGTTTGCACACCACGCACATCTGTTGCTGTTCATGATGCTGAATCATGGTTGTAATATTAGACAAGGATGAGTAATGTACCTTTTATTGTAATGAAAACCAAAAGAGGTCACTGCTAGATACAATCGCCCTAAATACAGATGAGCAAAATCAAAAGCACAAGACGTTGGAAGTTATACCTCCACTGAAGTAGTTGTCTGCAGTGAGCGTCAGATCATCTGTGTGTGCGATCGCCTTTGTAGCTGTGATCAGTGTGTGTGCCCCTGCTTTTGCACACAGGGGTTGGTTTCCGCTGGAGAAAGCAGTTTGTGTGTGTATGTACTTGTGTGTTTGTGGATGCCGTGTCTGCCTGTGATTCAGGTGTTGTGGAAGAGTGACTATAGTTAGTCCATAACTCATGATGCTCTCCATTCAGAAGACACCTTAGGGCCCACATTACACCCAGTGAGACTCAATCACAGCCTACGCAAAATCGATAATGCTGGAGATAGTTGGTGAGAGAGAGAGAGAAAAAGATGGAGAGAAAGTGGGTGGGGGAGAAAGGGAGGAGGTGGAGAAAAGGAGACAGAAACTCCAGAGGAAGAGGAGGAGGAGGGGGAGAGAGGGAGTACAGGGGCAGGATGGGAAGATGAAAGATGAGGGCTGGTTTTCCCACAAACTCCCAAAGGCCCCTTTGCTGACTGTGTTTTTATTTGAAGACACTGTTGAGGTGAAAGGAGACGATAAAGAGAATAACTGAGATGAAATGGAAAAAGGAAGTCATGGTGACCACGTAGAGATACACTGAAGCAACAAGGTGTCCTCTCTCGCAAGAAACACCTCCTGTGGAGATTTTGCCGCACTTTATGTTGTTCAGTCTTTAGAAGAAACAGTACATTAAACTAGAGCTGAAACTGACTATTTACATTATTGATCAATGTGCCAGTTATTTCTTCCTTTAATTGTTCTGTCTATAAAACTTTTAAAGGTAATAAAAAAAGGTAGCTCAGTCTTCCATTGCAAATCATCCAAACTAACGTAGCAAACTGTTACATTTGAGAAGCTGGAACAATCACATTTTTTGGCAATATTGATTGAACAGTGACTATTAAGTGCATTGTGATTTTGAAACTCTTTGTGGCTTCAGAGGGAGACGTACAAAACTGATAAACTGTTTGAATAATATTACTGGAGTGTACACTTCATATACACTTTAACAACAACAATGAAACTTATACGTCCCCCCATGTAAAATGTTTACATCTCTGTAATCAAACTTAAAGAAACTACTCTAAATGTAGGGTTAGTGAGTCCTGCTAAGGAAATGGACAAACATGCTTTCATTTATTTCCAAGACATTTATCATCTTTAAAGTTGATGTGTTGAAGGCAGGAGAAACAGGGAAGCGTAAAGAGCTGAGTGACTTTGACAAGGGCTGAACTGTGATGCGAGACATCTCCCAAACTGCAGGTCTTGTTGGGTGTTCTTTGTCTGCAGTGGTTAGTACCTACCAACAGTGGTCTAAAGAAGGACAGACAGTGAACTGGCTACACCACCCTGGTGGCCTATTTATGAACTTTAATATTGGCTAACTGTTCCTGTCAAAGTAGCTGGGACTTGGGTCTTTTGTTGTTTGTTTTGTGAACACGTTGTGGGAACAACAGGGCAACGCCAACAGTTTGACTCAGTGATGGGCAGCACAGAACTGCAGCTGTCTCTACCTTGTTTTTGTTGGGTTTGCTCCTCTTGCCGTCACCTCTCTTTTCACCCTGGCTCCCTTTTTACTTTCACTCACACCCTGCAACCTTCATTCTTCCACCTCCCAGTCTCTTTGGCTCTCCCTCCCATCTCCTCACCTCCCTCCCTCTTTCTCCCTCTCTGCCTGACTTGCTGTTGTTTTTGAGTGATGTGCGGCTGATGGCGAATGCCGGGTGATGACAGATGGATGTGACAAGCAGATGGTTTTGCTTGTCGTCTCTTTAATCACACAAATTCAGTCGGCCATGAAGCTGCAGCTTTGTCTTGTCAAAGCAACACAAAGTGGAGACAAATTTATCCAGCGCACCACAGAAGCTGATACAGACAATGTGCAGCAATTTGTGAAGAAAAGGGGCTTAATGTAAATGGAGGTCTTCAGGTTGATGTTGGCCCTGATATTGTTTTGATGAGCACTGACTGTTGTTTGGTTGCATGGTGAGAATTTGAGCTTTTAATTTGACAGCTGTGATGTAAAGTTACGTGACGTAGAATAAACAATTGGTCTTGTCATTGCAATTCTGGAATTATTTGACATTTTAGCATATGCTACAGTAAGTGCATTTTTAAAACAGTGCAGTATTATACAGATATATTGGTAAGCATGTACACACAAGCTGCTGCAACTACACATGGGATTACATTTAATTCACCAGTATTTGTTCCCTTATTCCCACCCATGAACATGTGACCATCACATGACAGCTCCCAAAAGTGAAGCCACAGTAGTGGTTGTAGTATAGGTCATAAATCCCGCCCTCTCCATGTTAGCAGAAGGGGCATAAGCCAAACTAAGACTGCAAAGCATCAATCAAAAATATGACAGGGTCGGATGATACAGGTTGTCGGTGAATTTCGTGTACTTACTGTAATGTCTGTGAATCTAGGAATTGAGGACTATTTCACAAAAGCACAATTAAGAAATCCAGGTTAATGAGTTAAAGTGATGCTTGACCCAGTCTAGTGAGTGCGGCCTTGCTTTATACATTTCACGACGGTTAAGCCAGGTCCAGAAGGTGAAGCCAGGTGTCAGTAATTCAGATGAATGTATGTTCACGGCTTTCTTCAACAGACCACGAAGCTGAGCACACATTCACTGATGCTGACATAGAGAAGACGCGTGCAGCATACTTCAGACCCGCCCATGGAAGCTTATGAGAAACTCAAGCACATGCTCTGTAAAAAAGTAAACATGGCCGTTGTGATAAAACAGCAAGAACAAGTGTTGCAAGCTATAGTGGACCGACTGAACGCGTTAAGGAGCCTGGAAAGATACATTTGCCAAAGCTCCTAACTGAAACTATATACGTATACACACACACACACACACACACACACACACACACACACACTACTGTTTAAATGTCTATAAGTTTAAATGGTAACAAGCCAAGATATATATGTAAACTTCAAGAGGTAAACCAAGCAAAAAATAAATACATTTCATGTATGACAGGCCTTTTTCAGGGATCAGACAACAGGTTAACTGCTTCTCACAAAATGTATTGGGTTTGTCTTATTTCAAAAATGGCTTAAAAGGCTATGAACGGCCCTCACTTTTTAGTGTCTGAAGTAAGGGAGTCAATAGCGCATGCTGCGGTCTGGATCCACATGCACTACAGAGAGTGAATGAATTTCACTGTTGGTTTTAGTGTCTGCATGGGATTTGTTGAACAAAAGAAAATCACTGGCGTTGTCCTTTACAATGACATCCACTGAGTTACCTTGTTATTTTTTTTACACTTGTAAAATCTAATAAAGTCTAGTAGCTCTGCAAAATAATCTAATTTTTGTGAAGCCTTTAAAGTTCGGTAAGTGCTGACCCTGCTGATACTGATTCAGCTGTATAGGAACTTTTTTGTAGTTAGCGGTGGTGCTGGATTCATTATATAGAGAAATGCTTCTAATATTCAGCCCACTCATGTATGTAATGAGTGGAACTTTAGAGACACCTTTTAATATTATACAGGCCAATACAAAACCACCTACAACATTCAGCCATTAGAAATAATCATACAGTTAACTCAGCCTCGGACATTATAAGCTTCACAAACCTGGGATTTATTGCAAAGCTGCTTGATAGGATGGGAGTGCATTATATGGGTACTTGATAAACAAATGCATGGTAACATTTATACAGTAATTGATCCTAGGTGTTCATTGTACTGTAAAAACCTTCCATCTTAAACCTTCAGAGATGATAAAGGGGGGAAAAAAGGAAAGTAACTGTATATTCAACCATAAAGACATCCGGATATGCACACAAGCACACATATTCACAAACTGAATCCAAGATGGTTACCTTAGAAAACCAAGGCTTTGCAGATTTTTCCAAATGTGACCAGTAATTAACACCTAAATGATCAACTCAGCAGAATAAGCTGGCAACTGATAAGATGTAACATTAAGCACACACAAAGACCACAACACACCCACAGAAACATACACCATATAGGTGCAGTCTGTCTTCACTTTGACAACAGTCAGGTTTTTAGGCTCAGTGTGCCACAGCTCTTACTCTCAAGGTTAGGCTGGCAAGGTCAAATTGACTTTAGCTTAATTAGCTGTCAATTAACAGAGTAATTGTTTCATAATGTGGTTTGTTCCCGAGGCAAGGTGTGTATGTGAGTGGAGCTGTTTTAAGCTGATAAGGTGGTGAGTGAAGCCTCTCTGAGAGACGGGGAAGGGAGAGGATACAGGTGAGCCTGTGTGTGCGAGGTGAAAGGCCGCAAGAGGTTGCATTTATGTGAGAGAGAAAGACGATGATAGATACCTGTAATGAGACAAATGAGTGATACATCCTCCATTATCCCATAACAGGGGCGATGGCTGGACACCATGCTCTCCTCCACCACCATCAGGGTGCAGCAGGTTGCCCTGATATGAGTCCACATGCATGCACACAAACATCAACTCACTCACAGAAACACACACACACACACACAATCTGTCACAGTGGGGTTGTATTCTTCACTCAGACCAACATTTATCAGTGCACAGAGAGACATATGGACATATCCACCACCACAGCCAACCAAGGGATGGAGAAAAGAGCTCAGAGAGGGAGAAGAGTGATGAAAACAGAATAAAAATGAGAAATGGAGTAGGACAAACAAAGCTAGAAAGAAAGCAGACATGAATAAAAGAGAGGGGTAGAGGTCGTTCAGTGAACGTTGATGAAATGGTTATTGCCTCTTGCTTGCTAATGGTCGGCGTGGCAGTGTGTCAGTGAATGACGGCAGCTAAGCTCTCCCCTCTGTTTGTTTCTGCTCTTCCTAATATCACCAATGAGGTTTTGCCTTCACAGACAATTGCATTTTCAGTATAATTTTCCAAGTCTAAATTCATTGTATATGTACTTTTAAATCCATTATTGAGAAGACTCCTAGCAGACTCTGTTTATTTATACCTTTTAA